GCTAAGCCCATAGGACGATGCTCTGATGTCATCACCCTCGCACATTGGTCATATGTTTACAAAAAACGATGTTAACACTTTCTCGTTCTTAATATATGCTATATTTAGGGTCGATATGTGTTGAATTTACTTTAAAATAGCAGATCACTGTGATTCACTTCTCCGCGGCTCCTCCGTGCAGAGAGGCCCCCCCCCCGTTGACAATTCACGAGCGTCTAACTCTCTCCCCCCTGTGAAGAGATATCACAGGGGGGGGTTGGGACACACACATTCCGATGGCCAATTCGTTTTAAACAAAGAGTGGGGTGGGGGCTGGTGAACGGTATGGTCAATGTTTGTAAACACTGTGACATTTTGACTTTATTTGATCATTTCAGTTAAAAACTAACGTTCATATTTCATATTACTGTTTTGCCTGGCTGGACCTGTAATTTACAGGAAAGGAGTGCACGCTACTAAAGAGACACGCTACCATGGAAACCAAACAATGGTGTTGCTGTATTGAAGTCCGAGTGGAAACAGTCATATTTGGAGCGTTATGTTAGAATGAAACAACGAGGTCGTGACTCACAAAAAAAAAGTGTTACTTCACTAACTGTAAGCTTGTCACTCAGAGTAACCTACAGTTAACTTAACTGTTGGAAAAGAAAGATCAGAGTTAGGAGTGTGAACACACAGCTGAGAGCTGCCGTTTCATTCTGACTGTTTAAAAAACGGTAACAACGGACTATATTTCTTAGCGGATGCATGTAAATTTAAATCAATACATAGAACTATGTTTTAAATCAATAAAAATATTTTCTAAATCCATAAAAGCATTTTAATTAATATTGGGAGTCATGTCGTTACTTTGTTGAGAATGTGGCCATGTAATAAACTGGATAATTTGCAGCGACTTGGTCATTATGGGGAAAAATAACACCCAGGGATCAAGATTACTGATCCCTCCGCGATGCGGAGGGATCAGTAATTTTTAGTGAATTACTGAGTTTAGGCACGTTAATAACATTTTAATGAAGTTGAATACAGTATATTCATATTTGTCAGTGATTTCATGTCAATTCGGCGAACATAAACGATTAAATTAGGATTAAAAATCGAGAGCCGGCTGCTGTTCGTTACGGTAACCCAACTAGGACACTTGACACAGTGGCTTTTGGCAAAGCACACAAAGAAAACAAAAAAAACCGAGAGAGATGAATTATTGTTATTACAACGTGACTTCACTATTATTTAACAACTATTTTTATTGGGTTCTTTTATTTGGGGTTAAGTACATTGTCAGAATAAGTGAGAAATGGATTTAACTTCTGTTAGACAGCTATCATACTGAATAAATATTTATGCAAAAATGTATGGCATTAATAATGTATATCTAATTACATTTAAAAATGTATGGCATTAATAATGTATATCTAATTACATTAACTGTGAATGTCTTTCATTTTATTTAAAATGAAATAAAATTACATAAAACATTTTCCATAAAAAAGTTGATTCAAGAACAAATCAGTACTTTTCTTATATGACTATTATTGCTAAATTTGAAAGGTCTTTACCAGCTTTGGAATTATATATATATATATATATAGCACCTTCTGCCATCCCATCTCTACTGACATATGGATCTTAACAAAGATCCGCTATACATTAGTACCAGATATACTGTACACGGACATTTTAGTGAACCAGACCAGCTGTTTCCGCCGGGTCTTCGCTTCCCGGGCATCACGTTGTTTACAAGTGTGTTCAGATGCTAAATGACAAGTGCAAGTGAAAATTGTTGTCGTCTTCTCTGTGAACGTTTTTTTCTCCGTTATTTTGCCATTTTCAGATTTAAATTTCGAGCGGAAAGCTAACCAGGAAGTAATAATTACTTAAGCGGAGAACGGAGAAAGTAAACGTTACAGCAGGCATAACAACAGCCGGTGTTTATTTTATTATAATATTCAAGAACAAATCAGTACTTTTCTTATATGACTATTATTGCTAAATTTGAAAGGTCTTTACCAGCTTTGGAATTATATATATATATATAGCACCTTCTGCCATCCCATCTCTATATATAATATCTATCCGTGACATATGGATCTTAACAAAGATCCGCTATACATTAGTACCAGATATACTGTACACGGACATTTTAGTGAACCAGACCAGCTGTTTCCGCCGGGTCTTCGCTTCCCGGGCATCACGTTGTTTACAAGTGTGTTCAGATCGTTCAGATGCTAAATAAAAGTTTAGCTTGTACTTTTGATACCCCGCCTCTCGGCACCACAACATCCAGTTTACTGTATTTCACATGAGCGATGTCGAACATTGAAAAGTCCTTATAAAATCTCTGTTATTAGATCAGTACTTTTCTTATATGACTATTATTGACTTGAACACTGAGAATGTATTTATTAACTTCAGACATTTGAAATATTTGAAATCAGATGAAAACAAACTGTAACGGACCCTGCCGTGTTATCTATGATTACTATGCCTTACTGTACATTCATAATTTCAGCCGGAGGTAGGTGGTAGGCGTTGCGGAGGAGCAGATTGCGAGTGAGGTGCCTGTTCTAAACGAACTATTCCAGCTGTTATAAAGCATTAAATAAAAAGTAAGCAAGGAATACAGAATGTTTCGTTACGTAACTTTGTTGAGAATGTGGCCATGTACATGTAATACATGGGATCATTTGCAGCGACTTGGTCATTGTGGGGAAAAACAACACCCATCCTGATCGTTTCAATGAAGTTGAATACAGAATATTCATATTTGTCAGTGATTTCATGTCAATTCGGTGAACATAAACATCAATGATGATGATTAAATTAGGATTAAAAATCGGGAGAGCCGGCTCGTTCGTTTTTTTCCGACTAAACAACATCTATTATTTAGAAGTTGATTTCACATGACTCCAGTGTGGAACCCCACTGCACCCCCTGGTGGATCAATGATCCATTGCAGCTGGCTTCACAATAATTAAATGTATTTATCATGGGGGCGGTATCAAGTCTGACTGGGGGCCGGCCGGCCATCACGGAACGTGCATGAACCGATCACGACCCTCGCACTTTAAACTGTCCAAAATAAGACGCTTCATCTGTATACTATCTACATACATAAGAGTATAATTAATATATATATAATATCAGTTAAAATAAGTGCTTCAACACAGTTAACATTGCAGGAAAGCAATATATTAGACGTTAAGTACTTTGTCAGGCTTAATATTTATCTGTAGATAGATACCCCCAAAGCTTTTTTCTTATTTGAAAGAAAACCTAAAGTATTCTTTAATGTGTTAATAAAGGTTAATTAGTTTGTGTGTTTTGCACACCCTCATATTAATATCTTTGTACATCAGGCACTAAACTGTTTTATTGTAGAGATCACTTACAGTATCTTCTTGATTTTTTATATTCTATATTTCTATCATTGACCTTCTACTTTCCCCCTATGAAAGTATGTACTCTTAATATTTTATTCATCAAATAACATTATTCAACAAAAATAACATTATTCAACAAAAATAATTAAATAACGTGCTTTAACCACTAGGCGGTGCACACAAGGTACACACAGTATACTAATAATAACTTTGTATTATTAGTGTAGGACACTTATGTATGTATAACATCTGAAGATGTGTAGTTGTATTCATGTTTTTACATAATTGTACAGGATATTGCTATATTATTTCTCATGTTTACTTCTACACATTAATATCTGATTTGTAAAACATCACAGACAGAAAGGTATATCCGTCATTTAATGGTAAGCTATTGAAATTGTGATTCCATAGATGTGTCTCCCATCACCCAAATCCCCTGACTATTCTCTCAACTCAGTATTTACATTCTTATATTCAAAGAAAATCAGTAATATCTTTAAAAACTACAAGTCCTTTTCTATCAGCTGTGCACCGTTATGGTGTAAATATAACCTATCTACCAATTGGATCAAATATAAAAGTCAGCCGAATTAGTATTGATACTGCAAGGAGACGTATTTTGTGAAAAGAAATGTAAGATGTTGTTTAATTGTTGATATATTTATGTCACGTATTCAGTTTCGGCGGCAGTTCTTCCTGTTTGTCCAGAAGTCTTCTCATCAGGGCTCTATAAATAAAGAACTATGGCAGATGTGTAATATTTAATGCAGCCGAACCGTGTATTACAATGCCGTTATGTGATGACTTTCAAAGAGAAAAGCAAGAACACTCGGAATAAAGTATTATTATTTTTTTTTTTTAATGTTTTCGGCATAAACACCATATCCCAACGTGCATTGCGACTAAAACATCCAATCAGCGAGCTGAGGATCTTTCCTACGTCTGTTTCCGGTATTGTTCCTGTAATGAGAGTTCACATTTATGCTACATTGAAGGGTGGAATTGACTACACATCTTCAGAAACATAATTTGCTTCAGATATACTGTAACTCATAGCAATATTGTAACCATTAAGAAAAGCCAACTGCATTAAAAACCCAGTTAACAAACACAAGGTAAAGTATTTTTCCTTCAGTAATGAAGATGTAATTCCACTGTAGACACACCTGGGGTCGCTGTTCAGTCTGTTACGCTGAGCCATGCATTGTCTGGAACGTAAAAGGGACGAAGAAGACAAAGTGAAGTGACGTACTTCCGGTTCAATGTGAAAACATTCCCAGTTAAACCATAGATATATATAAAAACATATGTTTATATATATCTATGAGTTAAACAACAGAAACAAATCGCTTAATAAAAAGATAAAACACTGGCATGTAATTTACGTTAGAATAAATAGAATGGTTTTGAATAATAGATGAGAGTAAAATCTACGTCACTTTACAGCCCCACCCACTTTTGGAGAAGGGTCTAGCTGTGGCCGCGACCAGTACACGACACTACACGACACGCCCCCTACACGACACGCCCACCTGACACGACACTACGGTGGCTGAGAGACATTACCGTACATGGCAGATTAAAAGCGAATTGACGACACTGACGCTGACGCAAGGATATTTAAGGAGACATGAGGTTTACAGAGAACAGACAAACAATATGGCGCACCGAGTACAGGTAATTAACGTATTGTGGTTTTAGATATAATTACATACTATTTAGGTTCTCGTTTGTTTGTCGATGTGGCTGTTTAGCGCAGTGTAATTGTGTTTATTTTGCTAATTTGTATTTTAAATATTAAATGTAAAGGAATGGAATACATATATATATATATATCTTAGCTCTTAGCTTGACATGCTCGACGTTCAGTTAGCATATATGCTAACTGAACATGCTCGTTCAGTTAGCATGTCAAGCTAAGAGCTAAGATATATGTATATATTTTAGCTTGACAGATGGAACAATGCATGTACTCGCATTTTTACAAGAATCTGATTTTGTGTAAGTTTTAAATATTCATTGAAGGTGTCTTTCACATTTGAATGTTTTAAAAAAAAAAACATGTATTAGCTGCTATACTGACATGCACATATGTATAATTATATTATTATTTTAAGTGTGGTTTAAAGTTAAATGATATATAGTTATTGGGTAGAGCCAAGTAACCCAGGTGGATGCAATCAGGCCTCTGTTTTTAGATGGGGTTTGTGGCCATGCTGTAGGCCTGACATTTAAACCATAGACTGTATATATAAAGATTTAAACTAGCTGAAGGGCTTTCTGTTTGAACCACAGTGATATCTAGAGGTTGTTTTGTGCATAACATGTTAACCAAAAGGGTAGAGCTGGCTGAATCAGATGGAGTTAAACTTTTATTTTTTTCAACAAGATATCAAGACACAAAATGTGCTCTACCAAATGGTGGCGCTGGCAGTTAAAGGGTTACCTTCTGAAAGTGAGGAAGTATGACCAGCTTTGTCCCATAGGATTATACAGGCCAGTCCATTGCTGCTTGTTTAAGGAGTTAACTATTTCCAATATTAAAGTCACTGAAATTGTATTCTATTTTATTCACCTATAGACAAACAACACAACACTCCGTGATGGAGCACGCCCAGAGCTCAACAAATTGGACTCGGACACCTTCCGTCCGGACACAGACGGAGAGAAGGTTCACAGATGAGGTGGCATTCGTCATGGATGTGCTTCTGCCAGAGGTTAGATTTCACTGACTTTTTATTTGTCGACTACACATTATATAAAATTACATATGTTGCACTTAAACTCATGGTCAATGTCCAGTAGAATGTTGATGCCAATTGGTCTGGCATAATTGTCACCTGCAGAATGGCACAACCTTTATTGGATGTCTACATTTTACTCTAACTGTTAAACGTGTGGCTTTAATCCCTTCATGACACAGGCGACAGTCCACGCCCTTGCAGCTGTACTCTCGGTTTCCCTTGAAAGAGCCAAGGAAACGTATAAATGTGGACCCGAGTATGACTGGAGGTAAGCTGGAAACATGAGGAGAATGCAATTCTCCATTTAAAGTGTACAACCCCTGATGCATGTGAATTTATAATATTACATATATGACTTCTTTATACCATCTTGTCTTATCAGTGAGATGGAACTTTGTTCTCATTACCTCACCAAGAACATGAGTGAGGAAGTGCACTAAAGGCTGAAGGACTCCAGTGAAAGATTCCGAAGAGCTTTGGATTCCGAGGAGTTTTTAAATAGGCTTTAACCTCCTGCAGGTCAATCCTGGCTGCTTACATTTTTATTTAAAATCATGTTGATTTTACTGTTGGGATCAATTTAAAAGGTTATTTTTTTTTTTTTAAGCAGACCAGCTTGAATAGTGCCCCTCTGATTTTCCACATGATGTTCTGTTCAATAAATGTTCATTGAGGAAAACGGTATCAGTGTCTTATTGTATATTCATCACAGTGAATGCAGTGAATGCTGAACTTGCCGGACCATATACTGTAGTTGAAAGTACACAATGAAACACTGGCTTGCTTGTATCAAATCAATACAATTCCCACATGCCCTACCCCGGAACCTGCGGTCTTCAGACTCTGGCCCCCCGCACCAACCTGCGATCCTTCGGGGACAGAGCCTTCAGTATGGCCTTCCCATCTCCAGTATGCCTACATGACAAGCATTTTTATAATATACAGTAAACATATCTTTGACTTATTGCAAAATTATAAAATGAAATTCACCCCTGCTGTTATTCTGGCTTTGACTGTTCAAATGAGATGTCAACCATCAAAATGGGATAAGGGGTTCCAGAAATATCACTGTGCAAAACACACCGGCCAATTTTGACCGATAATAGTATGGGAAGGGGGGTATGACCGAACGCAAGAGAAGAGACAATCATCAAGCCAGATACCAAGGTATTTACAACAGGCAACCACTTCAATTACTTTTCCTTTATATTATTGTTATTTGGTTTTTATTAGTGCTTTTGTCGTTTTGAAGGAAATTAAAATACTGTATTGAGTTGGTTTCTTCTGTTTTGGAAGCCTTGTATATCTTTTTGGTCTTGTTAGAAATACCCCATGGTAAAACTGTGTTCTAGCAGCAGTTAAAGAAGCTTAGTTTGCTGTCTTAGACTGCCAGATGTATTAAGATGGTTTGTTCACAATTTACACATAAAACCTAAATGTTCATCTGTTTATTGTTCTTCTTCCTTTATATTCAAAGCATGTTGATTGTCTATTGGCTATATCTTGACATTATGTTAATTTGATCATACTTGCCATACATTTATTTTAATTGATGCGATTCCTTCAAAGGTTTTGTAATAGACCCCTAGTACTTTTAATTTATAAAGTAATAATAATACATGTGAATGATTGAGCTCATTAGTGGCCTGACTGGCCCTTGTTCCTTAATGACCCCATGATGTGATTATGTATATCTTAAAACCTTTAACAACTATATTTAGATGTTCACAAATATCTACATTTATGTATAAAATACATGTGTAGCAGTTAGACAAACATAATCAATCGATTATCTCATTAATACCTATTTTATATATTAAAAAAAAGTGTACTAAACCACCGTTTGTTGACAAAATGATTTGGGTTGAAAGTTATACTGTTGTGTCTCAAACGGATAGACTAGGTTATTAATGTATTTGCCTAATAGTTGCTTAAAATGCTACAATAACATTTGCAATTCGTTTTTAATCTGCCATGTACGATCTCAATAATAATAATAAGTGTCGTCAATTCGCTTTTAATCTGCCATGTACGGTAATGTCTCTCAGCCACCGTAGTGTCGTGTCAGGTGGGCGTGTCGTGTAGGGGGCGTGTACTGGCCGCGGCCGCAGCTAGACCATATAGAGTGGCGAAGTCCCTCCCTTTCCGGTGGACCTCCATGGGACCTTATTTCGGAAAAGTTATGCATTGAAGTCAATGGAGAGAGAAAGATTATCTTTCGATCCCGTTTGAATTGTGCCACGAATTACACATATGATGTTTGTCAATTTAAAAGATAATTTTGCAAGTCAAAAAAAAAAAAATGTGTCGTAAAACTGTGAAGTAACACATTTGTTTGTGTGAAACACTAAATGAACTACATCTCTGGTCAACCACACACGTCACCAAGATGGCCGTCACTACTGTCATGTCAACAAACGATTGACTATCACCACAATGAAACACGTCCTGAAGAATGTCATGCAAAGCTGCCTGCCTGCCTTCCTTTGATTCTCTCTGAACTGCCTGGTCGTTTTAATGTTTAATGTCAACCATTTGTGCAGATAGCATGAAGTAGAAAAGATCGCCGATGCTAACGTTAGCGTTAGCATTTCTCCCCCGGAATTAAATGGTGTATTATAGAATGATCACACCGGTGACAGTACTATTCAAAGGGTTCACGAAATATGACTACTACTCTTACTGTTTAACATTTTGGGTTACTTAATGTTACTTCATGTTAAGGCTAATAAAAATGACAAGGCTGTAATGCTAACTAACGTGCTAGCTACTAGCTAGGTAGCTAACTTGATCAAGCCACTCCTGGTCGTTTCATCAGACGGGAAGCAAAAGAACGAGCAAGACCCATTGCTGGTATAATAACAACCTGGTACTAAGCACACAGGCATCTTGTTAAAGTTATCTTATCTTAGCCAGCGCCATATAGATAGATTATATCTATATTGCGCTGATCTTAGGTATCTGAATGGTGGAGGTAAACAATTGTGACATCACTTACGCGACTCTGGGATTTGTAGTCTTTCTAGTTACGTATTTTTCATAGTCTTATATTTCAACAGTTTTACGACAAACTGTGACTTTTTTGACATGGAAATGATTTTTTAAGATTGACAAACATCATATGTGTAATTCATGGCACAATTCAAACGGGATCGAAAGATAAGTTTTCTCTCCCCATTGACTTCAATGCATAATTTTTCCGATATAAGGTCCCATACCCCGGAAGTAAGTGGGAGGGACTTCGCCACTCTATTGCACTTTTGGGGAAACCAACGCTGTCATTTCAACGGCGATCAAGCCTGAAGCCACAGAGCTCTTCTGCTGTCCTTAGAGGAAGTTTGAGGTGTTTGAGGTGCAATAAACGACACAGCAGCTTTTTGGGATGTTAAAACTCTGCCTCCAGCTGGCGAAATTACAGCCTCGCCTACTGATTTTAATTTAACCATAGGATATCAAGCCCGATCGTCGATTTCAAATGTGTGCTCTAAAATGATATTAATAAATTACTATTATCATTATTATTATAAGCTAGAAAAGAAATGTCAAAGATAGGTAGAAAGCAAACGTATTTAAGATATGTTCAGAACAAACGTAACGTGGGACAAAATACGTTTCTTGTTAAACGTAATTGAGAATGCTGTATGAAACGACTACAAACAATATTGTGATTATTAACCATTAACCAGCATAATAACGGATTTGGTAAACTGAACAGTGAGCCGCCAGCCAGCGCGAAAATAAGTTTGCTCTAAAATGATATTAATAAATTACTATTATCATTATTATAAGCTAGAAAAGAAATGTCAAAGATAGGTAGAAAGCAAACGTATTTAAGATATGTTCAGAACAAACGTAACATGGGACAAAATACGTTTCTTGTTAAACGTAATTGAGAATGCTGTATGAAACGACTACAAACAATATTGTGATTATTAACCATTAACCAGCATAATAACGGATTTGGTAAACTGAACAGTGAGCCGCCAGCCAGCGCGAAAATAAGTTTGCTCTAAAATGATAGGAGACAGGGTTGACATAATAGAGCATTTTAGATTAGGCTATCGTTGCATGTAAAGTACATGACACTTTTCTCTGTGCGCGGCAAAACAAGCTCGCCAAAATGGCTTCACTAGTCTGGCAGTATTTTAAGTGTCCGAAAATGACAATAAAATAGCGGTATGCAACGTGTGTGTCCACCCGCTGTGACGGACCGGTGAGCGGAGCAGAACACACATTAAGAGTTAGACCTAACACACTTAGCTATTTTATCTACCTCTGGAACAAGCTAAACTAGTTATAAATATATTTATTCTTCACTCTCGGGTCGCTCATTACTGGATCAGTGAGCTGCAGGAGATACTGACGGGCTGTCAGGAGAGAGAGAGAGAGAGAGAGAGAGAGAGGGGGAGAGAGGAAAAGAGAGCGATATCGGTATCGGCCGATACTGATTCCGGCGATCGGCTCCAAAATTGGCGATCGGAGCATCCCTAATAATTGTATATGATATGTTTTATAATGATTGATCATGAAAGTGTTATCAAAGCTGGTAAAGGTGCAGCTAGTTTGAATGACTTTGTATACTGCAGGGTAGCTTGTGAATTTACTCCAGGTGGAACTAAAGTCTGATTTAACACTTGATTATATTTCACATCATTAATCCACATCTGTAAAGTAACTAAAGGTATTACATACATGTAGTGGAGTCAAAGTACACCATTTACCTCTGACTTGTGTTTACTGCCAACCTAAAAGTACCTCAAAAATAGTAATCAATAATATATTGAAAAGTTATTTGGCTGATTGTTTTATATGCTTTTTATAGCATAAAGAACATCTGATTTAATGTGAGGTAGGGAAATAATCATTTGAGTATAAGTATGTGTATATAAATATGTAATTTACAACAGCTGTAAGATGCTTGAAAAGCTTGAAAATGCACCTTGAAAATGCTTGAAAAGTGCTTGAATTTGACTTTGGAAAAGGTGTAAGAACCCTGTAATATGTAATAATGCTTAGTGAGGACATGCAAATATGTCTGTCTACTACTAAGACAACCAATTTAAAAAAAATGTAGTTTTACATTGTAATGCAAAACAACCTGTTCCATTAATTCATTGCTTTAAAATACATTTTGTAGTTTCCTTTCATTTAAAATTGTTGAAGTAAGCTTGGGGGACTCAAAGGGCACCCGATTGTTTGTCTGAACACCTGGTTTCTCTTGTGAATTAAGAACACTTGTGTTAGGGCATGAATGAACAATAAATAGGTTATATACAGTATAAAATACCACGTACTGTCCGCCCTCCCATGCCACCCTGGCATGACCTCTTGCCCCCCCTTTGCCACCCCATGTAAAATGTCCTAGAACCGACACTGGTCTCGCCTTTACTGCGAATAATGTTTAGATTAGAGCAGCAAAGAAAATATTTAAAAAGACTCA